TCTCTCTCTCTCTCTCTCTCTCTCTCTCTCTCTCTCTCTCCCCCCCTCCTCTTTCTCAACTTTTCTTTCGTCCGGATTTGTAAGCTTCGAGTACAAGAAAGGAATGGAATATCAGACGAATATAAATATACTCGAAATGGTAAACGCGCGGTGACGACATCAATGATATCATTGAACGACCTCGGAATTCACCTCGACACATTATGTCAGTTGTCCGTTTCAGTGTATACAGACTGGAGTTTACTACGAGCGGAATGAATGAGTAATCCAGTCAGTTTCTATAGAATAAACTCAATCCGTAGTTGTGTAACAGGAGCTGCACCTGTGATAAAGCGCCGCGCATTTACATGAAATTAAGTCTGCGACGTAACGTCCCACACTCTCATTTCACAAGTGACTTCTATGCGATATTCTTTGTCAATGCGTCAATTTCTAATTTTCGACTCTACCATTAGGTGGTGTATATTTGAAAAATCGACTGACCGTTATTAACGATAACTCTCGAAAACGAGGAGACAACCTCGAAACCCCCTTTAATGCATCTCGGTATTACACCGCACTTGTACCGCAAGTTAGTAGTCGGCAAAATGTTGCGATAACGTTATCTATAGTCGACTATGCACTTTAAAGTGCGCATCATGCATAGTAGCTTTGTTCGCGAACATAGATAAACAATGTGACACACAGGTAATTGTCGCGTGGTATTATGCACTCCCCCCAATAAAATTCAAAGTACGTCTCAGAAGCTTCTAGTAAATCTGCGAAGAAATATAATATATCTATATGTCTTATTTTATTAATAAATAAAAGCACAAATGTGAAATGGTTGTATGCGCGGAACTTTTACGTGTAACCATAAAGTTGAAGTTGAAATTTTGCGATATATTAGATTATAATTATATAATTATGTTATAGTTACATTGACTTGTTCCATCTATAAATGTTAAAATTAAACGATGTATCTCTTTTTTTTTTTGGAATTGATATTTGATTATTTTGAAAGCGAGAGTATTTCCAAAAAGCATCAACAGTCATAGCAACTTTTGTTTTCTTTTTGCGTGATACGCTCGAAAAGATGCAAATTATTGGAATTTTTTTTACACGAATAAAGGTGAACTATTTGTATATTTGAATTTTATCGAATAGTCGTTTCCTATGTAATCGTATGAAAAATTAGACAAAATTATCGCGGATATCGTGATTCGCATTGAGGAAAATGTGATTAATTCTTGCGTCATATCTATATACGTATGATAAATTATTATGCTAATGTAAAAATAAAGTGTAAGAAAAAAAAATCGGGAGAAATAATCGTGACGCGAGAGATGGCAGAATGAGGAAGAAAAAAACTAGCATTGGTCGAAGTCGCCGAGATGTGCCGAGTGTAACGGCAACAATGAACTGTCCAGCCGTGAGGATAACACAAAGGAAATGTAGATGGTATATCGCGCGCGCGGATACTAATAAGAACAACACAGAGACACACAAAACAGGTTTGCTGAGAAGAATGGTCAGGTCTCGTAGTCGCAGCACGAAAAGGTAGTAGGAGGATTCGTGAAGAGGAGTAGTCATTCGTTTTCTGTCTCAACCCCCGCTGCTAGTACAAGGGGGAGGAGAGATCAAGAGATGTGCGAGATCCTAGGGGTTTTTCTTTAGACCTCGAGGGAGGGGGGGAGGGGGTGGGGCAGTGGCAAAGAGGAGAGGAGGCACGATGGTTGCGGACGGTTGCTATTTGAAAGGGAAACGAGCGTCGGGATGATGCAAGCGTGGGCGAAGATTGCGGGGAGACGGGAAATGGTCTCTACCGACGAGTAGGGGAAGAAAAAGAAGGAAAACGTAAGGGTCGGGGAATGATGTTCCGCGAGGGTCTATGCAATCAGTGGCGACGGCCGATTGTTTGGTGCACCCGGGTGCAACGATCCGTGAGCACGGTACTGTCTCTGCCTTTTCGCACGCTGCTCGGTGCGGTGTGCAGCGCGGCGGATGCCGCTGACGATTATGCACTCGCTTCTCCGTCGCCAGATAATTAGGAGTTAATTAACTAATGGCCCTTTATGCGCGTACCCTTCTTACCCGCGATACACTGCGCGCATTTCTCTCTCTCTCTC